GTTTATCAGCTTTTTGCCTCAGTTCTTGGAAAATTCTGAGTATTAGAGATTTGAATTCCGTATCAGGTACTTCTAGTGCATTTGTTCCACAGGAGAGTCATCTGGTGTTTTAATTTGGATGCCTACTGGAACCATCCTGTCCTGTTTTTGTAAATGTTTTGATATTGTTTGCTGTTTTCAGGTCATTCAGTAGTTATTTCTCTCGTTTATTGATTGTAGATTTGTTTGTTTCACCCTGGCGTTTTGTCTCCCACTGGACGCTCGTGAGGCTGCTTTCTCATACCGCCATTTGCTGATCTCTAATAGGAGTCCAAGATATTGGATCCACGCTGCGTTAGCTGGTAGGGGACCTCTGCATGAATCTTTCCTCACTCTCCATTCTCTGTCAGTATTGTCACTCCATTTGGTGCTCGGCTGAGTTCTTTATCTCTTCATTTGATGTTCTAGGGTTTCAGGATTGTTGCATTCTCTGTTTGGCTTAGTTTTTCAGATCTTTGCTGTGGAGGGATGGCGTGGTGCTTCTGCCTAGAGCGCCATCTTGCCGGAACTCTCAGTAACTCTATTTTTAACTTACAGACAAACTATCGAACTGTTTTCCACAACAGCTGCACCATCTTATATTTTTAAACGTCTTCCAAGTTCCCTTAACCCAATATTTAAAAGTCATGCCTTTTCACTTCGGGGCTTTCTTGTGTAATGGGCTGTTGTGAAAGGAATGCACTCAGAGGCTGTGTTGATATACAATACAGTGTTTGGAATGTGGAATGGATAGTGCCACTCCAATCTGGTCAGCTCACACCTCAAACACAGCATTCATTTCAGGACTTGATAAAATAAAATATCTTCTGTGTCCAGATGATAATTCCTCCACCTCGTGGAACTGGGGATTTAGGTTTAGGAATGAAAAAATGTAGAGAGACCATGATTGCCGTCTTCACATTCTGAACGCTGTCAGGGGAAAGACAGATTCTACTCACTCTGTGCTGCCTCGAGGGCTGAACTAGGTTCAGTGGCTGGGGGCTACAGGGAGGCAGATTGAGGCTCCAAGGACAAAAGAGCTTTCTAAATTATTAGATATGTGCACATTCAAGTGAGTGACCTCAGGAGACAGTGAGCTCCCAGGTCCCAGAAATGTGCAAGCAAAGGCTGAGCCATCCTTTGGCAGAGTGATCATTGCAGACATCAAGCACTGGAAGGGGTTAAACGGAAATAATGTCTCAAATCTCTTTTACTCTTTACTCCATATACTCTCAGATCCTAGGACCCATGGCAAAGCAGCCTTCTCCAAGGCTACTCTGTTTGAAAATCCTCTAAACCAACTTTCTTGAACATGTCTACCAATAAGTATACAGGAAGTTATTGTCTTTGGATATCCTTTTGGCTTTATTCTCTGTTCTTCTTTGTTTTTCCCCATTTACACAGAAAGAATTTATTCCACAGTAGAAATGTAGACATCCTTGAACTTCTTATAAACTCTTGAATTTGAAGATAAATTGTCAATTTTTCTTTTTATAGAAAACATGTTGTTGTTGTTTTTAGCTGCTGTGGAGTCAGCCCTCAGAATGAAATGCTGCCCGGTCCCACTCTACTCCATGATCAGTTTCAGATCAGACTGTTATGATCCATAGTGTTTTCACTGGATGGTTTTCAGAAGTAGATCCTCAGGTGTTTCCTCCTAGTCTGGTTTCATCGGAGGCTCCACTGAAACCTGTTCAGCATCATACCAACACGCAAGCCTCCACTGACATACGTAGAAGCATACTTCGTGCAAAAGGACCTTGACCCTGCCACGTTCTGAGGAGTAGATTGTGCTTTTTCATGAGCTCTTCTGGTCTTTTATCAGCAGGAAAGAAATGACACACTCAAACTCCATAAATGAGCTGAGATTAATATAAGACATGTTTTCAAAGGTATGGCCAAGGCTTAGGTAAACAAATTGTGCAAGACCCAGAGTTTAACAGTAATGGGTGTAGTAACCACCCTAGTGTTGAAGAAATAAGGGAAGGGAGTAGCTTCTGGAACCCACTGGGGTCACTGTATGGAAAGAACCACCTGACAGGAGCTGGGCCTTCAGTAGAGAAACCCAGCCAACCCACTATGACCTGGCAGGGAGGGAGCTGAGGGAACAATGCCTCATTCTCACTCTCCTCCTGCCTTCTGCCACTTACTAGTGACCCTGTTGGTGGGATCAACTGTAAACCAGAGGCCAAAGGCATCTTTTGATGCCTTACACATGGATCACCCTACAAGGCACGGAGTAGGGTGGAGAAGGGTGGAGAGTGGGTCTGGATAGGCCAATGGAAATGTCCAGCACTGTCCTTTTCTGTAGTACATACCTAGATAACTATTTATCTCTGCTATCCTTGTAGCCTGGGATACACCTCCTCACAAAGCCTATTTAATTGACAAAGACTTGTAACTTGCTCTAAAACAAGATCAAAAGCAGTCACTATTTTAAAAGAAGTTCTATTTTCTATTTATCAATACTAAAAAATTTATCAATAATAAAAATAAGATATTTGGGTCATAGCCATAACTTTAAAAAAGGATTTTATAATGGCAGATTTTCTGGTACTTCTTTCCAAAGAGATTTATCAGCATTGAATAGTTCCTTCTCTCAAGGCAGCCACAGGCTTCTTATTTTCTCCTTCTTCCATGACCGTCTTGAAATGTCTTTGATGTGAAATCTATGATGTATTTTCCAATTTCATTCCAAACATTCAAACTCAATAAAACATTGCATCGTCTTTTTTTTAGAAAATCGAAATATTCAATTTTGTTAGACAGTTGAAATGTACAGATAATTTAATAATAATATTTGTCACAGGGCCTTTAACAAGTTGCCAAGAGAAGATGCAAACTCTGTTCCCGGGGTATGAAATGCCACGATGTTGAAGGAATCAATGGGGTTAGGACAGGAGTAGGCGTGGGCTAGATGGCCATCTCAGACTCTGTGCACACACTTCCTCCCCCTCACCCATAGGAATTATCAGAAAAGGAGTGTGTCTAGTATTTAAACATAAATTCTCCTATAATTTGGTGCTGTTCAATGGAGGTTTTCAGAGCTCAATTTCAGTTTCACCTCAAAGTGGAATTTCAGAGTTACTTGACAATAACAGGTTTGCTCTTGAAAAATGAAAGTGGAAAGTGAAGTCTGGATCTCCTGTCCTCCCCTGCCTCACTTACCCTGCTGTAGACTTTCAGGCTCTTCCAGAGTGAAGAGCATACTCAGTGATGATGGAAACACACACAGTGAGCTATCTTTTGAGAACTACTTTAGGGCTGCTAAATGTTTGCTGTACCAGAAATGTTGCTGAGAAATTAATAGCACTAGAAGCAAAAGTCTTACATAGTCCAGTGGATTCAGATATTCAACCTCCTGTAAGATCTAACATGCATATGAACTCAAATAAAATATATGCAAATTACCCATAGGATTTCCAAGAAGGGGTTGGTGGATTTGAACTTCCAACCTTTTGGTTAGCAGCCAAGCTTTTAACCACTATGCCACCAGTGCTCCTATATGCAACTTTGCCCTGATAAAGTCCCATACTTTGATACTGGATTTCTCTAGCTTTGCATACAGGAGGGTTTTCTTTTTCACGTGTCTGGCAGGAGCATCTGGATAAGACAACCAAGAGCAAAGCTGTGTTGTCATGCCCCAAAGAACAGAGCCAGATAAAAAGATATCCACACCCTCCCTCCAAAAAAAAAAAAAACAGTTTCTCGAATGTTCTCAGTTTCGGGAGCCAGGCTGGAAAAGGGAAGTAGAGTTTATTTGTGGATTCTCTCTGGGACTGTTCAGATTCTGATAGGGAGAGCAGAGGTATTAGAGTGGTTAAGAGCTTGGCTGCTAACCAAATGGTCAGCAGTTCAAAGCCACCAGCCACTCCACTGGAGAAAGATGTGGCAGTCTGCTGCCGTAAAGATTTACAGCCTTGGAAACCATATGGGGCGGTTCTACTCTGTCCTATAGGGTCGCTATGAGTGGGAATCGACTTGATGGTATTGGGTTTGGGTTTTTTTAAGATATAAAAGCTGTTAGTAGCTAATAAAATCTGTCTAAAAGTAAAATCTTCTGTCTGATAATTCTGTTTAAATTTGATAGAAAATGAAGCTATTGGTAGAATTCCTTTTAAAAATGGCATAAAAAGCAGAAAGGAAAAATTAACTACAATTCATTACCAGGAATTAAATACAGGGGTGGTGTAATATTTGCTAAGGATCCCTAGCGGCACAGTGGTTAAGCACTCAGCTGCTAACCAAAAGGTCAACAGTTCAAACCCACCAGCCACTTTGCAGGAGAGATGTGGCAGTCTGCTTTCATAAAGATTATAGCCTTGGAAACCCTGTCCTATAGGGTCACTATGAGTCAGAATCCACTCAACGGCAATGGGTTTTGTTTTTTGGTATAATATTTGCTATCTTTAGTCATTCTCATATTGCTGTCTTGAGGAAGTCTTGTGGTCTTGGTTTAAACAAGCAGGTTTTTAGATAGCACTTCTCAATTACTCTATACCAGTTACATTTCAAAGATATAAAGGGAATCAACTCAGGTCATTCATATATGACTGTCTTGTCATTTACTTTTTGATAAATATTGCCCAGTGAAAATATTTTTTTTCAGATTCAACATATTGTTTTTCCCAGAAAACTCTTGAAGCAGATGTCTTTCCTAAGTAAAACTTGTATAAATTAATCAAAAAGACATTTTCAGTTCAAATAATGAAAAGCTACCCAGTGGCCAAATAATTGGGGGTTGGGCAGAGGAAGAATCCAGACTATATTGCTGTTATCCCAACCCTTGCACAAATATATCTTGGGAGACAGCCTTCTTGGTTCTTTTGCAATAGAGATGGTTTGAAAAGCATCATAAAACCTTCACTATATCATGTGCATTTTGTACACTTTACAGTGTTTTGGTAGTAAAAATATGGAAAGGGTTTGTCACAGTGTGAAGATGACAAATGATTACATATAAGTTTTTTCTTATGTTTCAGGTGGGAATGGAAGGCAGAAAATAGTGTACAACAGTCACATTTCCTCTTAAATTCTTGTCACCATTTAACAAATGAGATCAGAAGTTGCCCTGTTTACCCCCTTCCCCAAAGTCATCCCTTGGTAAGAGAAAATAAAAAAAGCAATAATATAGTTAGTGATTGGCAAGGAACAGTAAGTAGTTTCTGTGGTTAGGCCAACGGCAGAATGCAGCATTTCCTTTGAAAATCCCACAGAAGCACACAGGGCAGGGACTGCATAATTGCTGAGCATTCTATCTTCCCAAGAGTACATTTCTTACATGGGTGACCGTACAAAACACTAAAACCTCATTATGTATCTAGACACTCACTGCTTTAAAATTCTTTAGCGGCTACCCACCATTTTTAAGATGGTGCCCTAACCACTCTGAATGACATATAAGATACTTCACAACCTGGTCCTTGCCCACGTCTTCAGTCTCATATCTTGACACCCATTCCCATAGTTGCACTGCAATTAATGACTATAGCTCCTACATGGAATGTGTTCCCAAGTCCCTTTGCCTTTGCTTAATTCAGCCAGTGAATATTTCTTGGGCACCTACTATATGCCAGGCACTGTGCCATGATCTAGGAATAAATAATGAATAAGGCAACATGACCCAAGGCCTTGTGTGATTGATGGCCTACTGATGATAACAAATAAAAATTACAACCCCTCCCTACAAGAAAGAAAAAAAAGCCAAGTAAATAAACAAAAATAATTACTAATTGTGATACATGCTAGGAAAAGGGAAAACAAAAAGTAGAACATTGAGATAGAGACTAAAGGGGGCAGGGGCTTCTTTAGTGTCCAAGAGAGCCTCTCTGACAAGGTGGCATTTTAGCTGAGACACAAAGGTTGATTCTTCCAGGTGAGTATTGGAGGTAAAGAGCATCCAGACAGAAGGAACATGCACAAGTTCGAAGGTAAGAAAGACCTCAAGTTTAAGGAATTGAATAAAGGCCAGTGTAGCTGGAGTATAGTCAGGTGGGGAAACAGTACGAGGGGAAGATGAAGGGGTAGCCCCACGTCAAATCATGCAGTCACCTTGTAGCTCGTAGGAAGGAAGTTTATTCTAAGTGCAGTTAGAAACTGTTGATTGTTTTTAAGCAAAGGGGTAACATGATTCAATGTACATTTTTAAAAGATTGCTCTGAAAAAGAAAAGGGATGATAGTGGAATGAATTTAAGAGATATATGGGATAGAATTAATAATGCAATGATGTTCTCTCTGTGCTTGTTCTTCCCATCTTTCTAACTAATTTCTAATTTCTTACAGGCTCAACCCAAGCATCATCTCCCCTACAAAGCATCTGGAAGGCCCTTAAATCCCCACAGGGTTTGAGAACAATCTGCTGTTCTCTAAGCAGCTTGTAATATGCCTCCACAATGTGACATACCATAATATTCACTTCCTTGGCTGCCTCCTGTAAGACTGTGAATTGTTTTGAAGGCAGAGACTGTGTCCTGCCCATTTCTCTATCCTCAGCCCATGAAGAATCCAGTGCATAATAGCTGTTGAATAAATGTCAGCTGTGGGCAGGGACAGATCACCCAATAAGCAAGGTATCCATGGGGTGAGTTGTGTTTACTTACTAATCTGTAGTGAACAATTTTACCTGGGTTTGGTGAAACTGTTCACTACAGTTTAGTAAGTAAACGCAATTAACTCCGTGCGTACCTTGCTTACTATAAGCCTGTGCATACTGTGCTTACTGGTTAATCTGCCCCTGGCTGTGGAGAAAATCATGCCCTCTGGACCACTGGAAAGCTCTTCACATGATTTGAAACACTGAGTGGTAGCCAAATCCAGGGGCCTGGTGTTGATTCTGATCTTGAAAGGATTGTGGAAGAGCTAGTACATACCAAAGACCCTATATCCTTTAGAAGTGACCAAGAAACCTCAGAAAGGAAGGCAAATTGATTTTTCCAAGCCATTTAGGGAATGAGTTCTTGACTAAGGTGGACTCTCTCAAAAATACTTGGAGTTCCGTCTCAAAGGCCTGCTGCAACAATTACAGTTCAGAAACACTTTCTTGCAACACATTGCTTAGCAGACATTGTCATTTTTGACAAGGAATTTGTATTAGTTGTGTGTCTGGGAGGATGGGGCATAAATCATAACCAAGCTGTCACCATGGCATCCCATTAACTTCAAGCAGATTCATTTTAATTCACCCCTAGGAAAATTTAAGTGTCTAACATGCACCAGGGTCTGTGGTAGGCTGTTAGGGTGGGATGGGTGTCAGGATATTTGTAAAGGGCCTCTGTTCCTGAGGAATTCAGTCCTTCAGGGGAAACAGCTAAATAAGCAATTACAACTTGGGGTGATAAGTGCTGTGATGTGTATGTATATATAGACTTATATGTACATACATGATGGGAGAAAACTGATCATGGGATAATTTATTCCTTATTCTAGATGGAGGAAGAGTAAGTGTATTTGGTCAGAAAGAAGCTTCGCTTTAGCAGGATCTGTAGGAGTTTATTTTCAGTCTCTGTCTGTCAACGTCCTAGAGGCAGGGGAGCCTAAGATTTAAGAGCATTGGTTCCAGAGATAGATTGCCTGCATTCACATCACATACTTTATGAGCTGTGTAACCTCTGGCAAATTACTTAAAAACTCTTTTATCTCAGTTTACTCAACTGTAAAATGGGATAACAATAAGACATAATCCAGAGTGTTGATGTGAAGATTAAAGGAGTTAGTGTATGTGAACAAGTAAAGGTCATTCCAGGAAGAGGAAATAGTATGAACAAAGGCTATGGATGTCCATGGACTGTCAAGAAATAGCAAACTTCTTTGGACAGATTAGAGAGTGTGTTTGGAGGGTGAGTTCTAGAGGAGACTAGAACCACCATTTGTGGCCCAGATCTTTCAGAGCTTTGTAAACTATACTAAGAACTTTGGATTCTATATGTACTGAGGAGCTTGACATGGTTTCAAACAATAGAGTGGTATGATCAGGTCTATGTCTAAAAAGAGTCTTCTGGCAAGAGTAGAAAGGTTAGACAAGAGGGAGAAAGAAAATAAGAGGGAGAGAGTTCAAGCCGGTGGTTATATCAATAATCCTCAAGGATGATTTAAAACCTAGAATAGGATTGCAGCAGTGGGGAATGGTAACCTGCTTAATTTAAAGTTTTCGAACCATTTGGCCATAACATTACCAGGAAACAGAATTCTTCCAGACTCAGTGTGAGGAGCATTGGCTCACCACCTACTCATTTATTTGGATGTTTTTATTTTGTCTCTTTACATCCTTTTGCATCTTAGATTACCCATTCCTATAACCCAGCAGAATATCATGATCACAGACAGAGGTACTTGTAGATACTCTGATGATGGACAGTTCTGCAGATCAATAAGTGTGCAGATGTTCCATGGAAACTGAGTTTATGCTGAGCACTCTGGATTTTCACATCAACCAGGCCTCAGCCATAAGACTCTCCCACCTTGGCTGCCCCAGAAGCTTTGTGAGGAGAGTAGTATGATGGAAGTTATATTAAGGGAATATTAACCCATTGACATACATTTTAGATTGGAGGGAGAAAAAAAAAAAAAGATATTCTGCAGACTTAGAATTTCCATTCCAATGTGTTTGGTACAGTTTTCTTTGCAGGTGAAAAAAAAAAAAATCCTTAGACTGTGCAGGTATTAGTCTAAGTGCAACACACACACACACATATACATACACACACACACACACTATTTAATCATCCCAATAATCCTATAAGGCAGGTACTGTTATTATCCCTATTTTATGGATGAGGGCATGAAATGACAGAGAAGGCCAAAGTCACATAGTAAAGAGTAAAATCAGGAGGGTCAATGGCAGGAACAGGTGTTTAATAAGTGTTGAATGAATGTGTGTGTCAGTAAGTGAATGAGTGAGGTAGTGAAGAGAATGAATGAACAAGGATTGGTGGTAAGAATTAGAAAATTAAAAGGAAGTTGTGCATTCCAGTAAAAGACAACATCAGGAGCCAAAGCAAGAAAGGAGGTATTTTGTTAACCCGTGCAGTGTACTGAAGAAATTACTCTCCAAATGACAGTTTGAAGTAGAGGTAGTAAAAGGCAGAAGAAAAGAATGAAATTTACTTAAGATTACAAAATATATGACACATTGGGAAAGTTAACACATCTCTCTGCTGTCAAGATCAAGCCCTTGTTTTAAGAGTGGCTCTTGTAAGTAGCATTTGAGACAGATAACTTTTCAACTGCAAAGAGTTTACTGAGTGAGAACCAAGAAATGTTTTTAATTTGCTGGATTCTGGAGAATAGAAATGGCATCTGTGGATCCAGAAAGAAGTGCAGAATGTGTCCTACAGAAGGCTCAGTGACACAGTTCTGAATAAGACATCAGCCCCTACCGAAACCTGTCAATAAGCTTTTAATTAGTTTCTAGGTACCTAGCCCTGTGTTAAGTGTTAGCAGAGGGAAAAAGCATAAACACTATCAATCAATAAACATCCCCAGAGTATACACTAGTGCTAAGTACTGGGAAACCCAAAATCTCAAAGACCTCATAATCAACTAGAAGGGAAGTGACGTAAACATAACAATAAATTCAGAAGACAAATTTAAAAAACTGCTGTCCCAGTAAAACATACACAGTAAGGCATAGCATGATAATACAATATATGACTTATACAATAAATACCAAAAGCACAGCGTAAATTTGTGTAAGGATTTAGAACTGAAGAGTGAATTTTACGTGGATCAAGATTATTAATCAATGAACGAAAAGGAGAAGAGCATTTCAAGAAGAAGGGGAAACAACAGTATAAATGCTGATAAAAGATCAGTGGTACTGTGAAATGGCTAACAAACAAAAAATATGCCCCTGGGCTTTCCCATTGGAAAAGGATGTTTCTGACCTCAAATCATGAAACTAATCACCCACAGCATATAAATACAAACTATTAGTTTTTCAGAAAACAGAGTCCTCTTTTAGATGCTCCTGATTTAATTTTCCCAGTCTTTCTACTTTGTGGTTCGGAGTCCTAGAAACCTCATAAGCTTCCAATTATTTCTTTCCCAAGGTTGGCATCAGTCAGAAAACATTGAAATTCTGTCTCCAGACTAGGTTAGAATCCTGTTCTCGACCCCGGATGAGGCAAGCTGAGCACCTATCCAAACAGGCTCATCCTTATGCTGAAGAGCTAGGTCTGGGCCAGCATCATCTTCATGCTATATTTTTATATCAGTGCATAGCTCATGTGTCAGAGCAGGCAACCTGGTGCTGACATACAGCAAATCCTGATTGCCATCAACCTTCTCCAGAACCATCTACCCAACCATCACATGCCATCATTTAGGGGCTGACATCTTTGGGGCACAGTCCCAGCCAGGAGATACAAGAATAAAAATCGGATAAAAATGCATGTTGGATAGGGCCTAACCATTATCCCATCACTTATAAGAATGGGGGTAAACATCATCAAGGTAGGACTGTCAGGTGTGGGGAAGTGATTAATGCCAAGGAGGCAGCAATCATTCAGGTGCTGCCAAGAGAAATGGGCAGTTATTTATTTTTTTTCTTCTCCCATTCCTGACTTCTGGTTTTACTATATGTTACAGAAAATCCTCACAGATATTTTTTCTTTCCCAAGTTCTAAATATTTATGCCTCTCAAAATCCAGAGATTACATACACTTTACACACATACACACACCAAATTTAATTCTCATAAGATACCATAGCCCTATCATCTTTTGAAAAACAACTGCAATGTTTCACCAATAACGTGACTCTGATGGTCATTAGAGAAGCAATACGTCAGTCGACCCGGATCAAATCTGTGTGCCATCAGTTACTAGCTATGTGGTCCTGAGCTAACGATATTACTTCTCTGTGTGTCAGTTTTCTTGTCTATAAAATAAGATTGTTTTAAGGATTAAAGGAAGGTCTCCCCCAACGTGGTCTATGAGAAATGCATAATAAGTGTTTGGTAATATTGTTATAGTCCCTCTGCTATGCTTATTACACGTGAGGAAGAAAAAATTTCAAAAATTGCAAACATTTTGTGGAACATAGGGCACTTGGAGGAGGCAGGTATAATGGGCTAGAGCAGAGGGTACTTTGGGCACTTGAATTATAGAAAAAAGGACCTGGGTCCTTTCAGATGGGAAGTGGAGTAAAATAGCAATGTAGGGAACCACAGACACACTTGAAACTGCTGAAAGCTGGTCCTCCTTCCCACCTATGCCCATGTAGAAACACCATCAGCTTATTCAATACCTGGAGTATTCAGCAGAAGTAGTACAGAAGTCTGAGGAATTCTCCCAGGATTCATTTGTGTAGCCAGCAGTTAGGAGACATCCAGTCCAAGGTGTATACTCACAATCAGAAAAAGCCTGGGTATGCTGGGGCTGGGCCCTCCTCGCATCACATCACTCAGGCTCCCATCAAGAGACAGAA